AGCGATAGAAGTGATAAATCTAAAATGATACCAGGGCCACTTCTGATCTTTATACTACATCATGGTATCTCCATGGGCAATTGAGCTACACACACATGCCCCCCCCCATCTAATGATTACAAATTAATTCATCTTAGTGAATGTTTATAGAGACTGTCAATTTATTCATCCATTCTAGTCCTTTTTTCTGTAAATGAGGTCATGCACATTAAGTGCTTTTCTAAGGAAAACCAGTTCATCGGGTATTAGTTCTGTTTTTTGTCCTGAGAGACCCTTCTATTCTACCTCCCCCACACCCCAACAAACAAACCATCACTTCCCCCTTTAGCACACTTTCACTTATGGAAAGGCTAGTGCACTGATCTTCTGTTTTCAAAACTCAATGCAGAGTGGGCTTCATCTCTACCTCTGAATTGAAATTCTTCCTTTGAGGAGACTGAAAAATCCTAGTTTCATGTAAATGACAGCCCAGATAACAGTTGGCCACAGCTTTTGGCAGTCTTCTTTAAGGAGTGGTGTTTTATATTGTCTATCGTTTCCTTTAAAGTGATTTAATCTGCACTTTAGGGGTGCTTGGTTCACATTTTGAAGTACTTTAATCAGGAATCCACATTCCAGGGGTAGTTAACATTTGAAAGACCCTAATCAAGACTCTATACTCTAGAGGCAACCAGTGCATCACATACTGCTCTCAACATGCACCAGTGGATGCATTAACTAAAATGAAATGTCAGAAGTAAATTTTCATTGGTGAAATTAATAGTATTTAAGATAATGTAGTTGACCACATACCTCCACTGGGGCAGGAATGGAGAATAAGAGTCGGGTGAGACCAGCAGCCTGCCAGCCTCGGTCAGTCTAGATTTTGATTTGCTCCTGCCTTTGCAGTCCTGCATGGAGGGTTTTTTCAGCTAACCGGACAAGTGGAACATGTGAAGTCTCTGTAACCCTACCTGGGCCATATCCTACCTGCCTTTCTCCACCCAGAGTTCATTGGACAACAACTCTGGCTTCACTCATTGGTTGCATTTCTTGTCCATAGAGAGGTTATTCTTAGTTTTGAACCAGATTTTACCTTATAAGTTATTTTTTTCTTTTAATTGATATTTTATATATACTTGTGTTTTGAGCAGAATGGCTATCTCAAGTAGGAATTTACAGGGCCCTTTTGATCAGAACCACAAGGATTCTTTTTAAGTAGTAACTATCTTATTTTCTAATTGAGAATATTGTCAGTATTCTGAGGTCAGGTTCCCGTCTGTGGGGGCAGATGTGGTGGATATGAAATTCCCCTGATACTTTAATGGTCTGATTAGGCTTGGTAACTTTTTTTTTTAATATGGATTATATTCAATGGTGGCAGACAGTTTTCCTGTTCAGGGGGATAATGTCCTTGGATACAACATGTAAATTAAATTATGTAGGTTGAAATGTTTTATATGTATATTAATTTTGGTTACTGTGCATAGTATAAAGAATGACATATACTGGGAGTTTCTGTACTAAGTGCTACCACTTACCTCTCATACCTTCACTAATGTATAAATATAAATGATGTAACATAGCTTATTTGGTAAAATGTATTTAACTAAGGGCCGCCCCTCGTGGTGCAGTGGTTGAGCACTGGGCTGCGAAGCTGTCCGCAGCCTCTGCAGCGCTGGTTTGATCCCTGGCTGCCGGGCGAGGGTGCCACATGGCACGCAGACCTCTCATGCTGCTCCCCTCAGCAGTGTATTTTGTTGGTCTGCCTGTTCTGTTCCCTGCTCTGGCTCTGGTGAATTCTCTCACCCTCCCGCGCTTCTGACTGTACCCAGTGCTTATATAAATAAATGAATCTTTAAAAAAAAAACTATTTAACTAGGACCTTTATCTTCTGTAATTTGATCACCTGTATACAGGTATGGCATATTGTACTGTTCTTGTCTTACCAAGACAAGAAGAGAGAGAAGAAAGCTGTCATGTTTTGGTTTAGATGGCTTTCTTTTACTCACTGGGAGACAGAAAGGTAGTTTGTTTTTTTTTTTTTAGTAAAAAACTTAGCTGCGTATGTGAATTATTCACCTTGTTTGTTGCTTTTTAAATTGGCTGTCTATTTTATAGGTATACATAATTGGCTATAGACCATATATTGGAGATATATAGATATAAAATATATTTAATTGAATCATGGAAATGTAAAACTTGAAAGCACCCTGCCATCTAATCCCTTCAGAAGTCCCAAAGTTTCTTAGTTAAATGCTCTGTCAATGATTTCATGCTTAATCACAACTATAGGAATGATTATATCCACTTAGGTATATACTGTAGTTGAAAAATATATACATTTTGTTTTAATTGAGGCCTCTCTGAACTTCAGCTAAATGATTTTTGCACAAAGCTTTTCCCATAAAGCCCAGTAGTACTGCCTGACCTCTCAGGGTATTTGTGATTATTAGACTAGTCTTCATGGTTGATTATATTATCCTTTCAAATTGCCTTTTAATTTTCTGCTGATGTAAGTGAAATAGATAATATAAATTAATTAATACTGGATCTGTTCAGTGTTTATGCTCTAGGAGATTTCTATAGACAAACAAAGATAAGGTTTCAATGAAGGTGTTAACTTAGGGCTGTGGAATTTTATTATTCACACCATGCTTATTTCTTATTTTTTTTTTAATAGGCTGATTATCCTGTTAGTGTGTCTGTAAGTCAGAGTATGCGATGTGATCTGGGATTGACTGATTTAAGCTTCACATATCAGCAGCCAGTTTTGCAGCAGCTATAAACTGACTGACTTCCAGGTGGCTCTTTGCATGTATCCTGCTTGAGCCTCATATGTGCTTTTTGTCAAGATCATTTCTTTTCCCAGCTAAATTTCTATTACCTTTTTTTCCCCTGCCTGGAGCACTGCTTATATTTTTGCTTCAGGTCTTTCCTCTAACCTGCTGAATTTTGATGGCACCTTGACTGCTAAGCACTTTTCTGTTCTTGTTATTGAGGTTGGTGTGGCTGCATGAAGTCATTCTATGGCCTGAGGTGTCTATCTTCATGTATAGAACAAAAATAGTAACTGCAGTGTCTCTTCCTGCTTTGAAATATCACATTTATAAATATTGATGTCAGTTCTCCATTTGCTTTTAGAATTGTCATGTCATCTTTACAGGCTCTTGACTTGTTGCTTCTATTCCCAGTTTTAGTATTAAAAGATTTTTAATTTCTTTACCATATCATCACATGCCCCCTACATTGCAAATAAAACGATATGAATTTGGTCATTCTTCATAGGTTTCTCATTCTCCTTGAAGATTTCAGGGGTCTCTGAATCTAAATAAGACAGCAGCAGTATGTTTAAATGGGTGGAGGACTTAAGAGCAAACTTGTGTGAGTAATTATATCATGTATGCCTTTGGCTCATAAATAAGTGAATTTTATGAATTGAGAGCAAAAAACAAAATAAATTGAGAGTAGCCTATGTGTCATATATCAGTGATTCTGAGAACTTAACTCCATATTCTGTAATATCTTCATTTTTTTCTCTGAAATGATTTCAGTACATTCCTATTTTGCTAAACAACTTCGAGTATGCCTTTGGTATAGTTGAACCTGAGTCTACTAAGGAAGAATGCCTGCTTGCTTTCATGATATCACATGTTTTAAAAAAAACCTTCTATTATTTTGCAGAGTGAAGAAGAGAAGGGGTGGGGGAAACTTGGACCACTAGAGTCCATCTTTACATTTGTACTCACTTTTATTCTTGTCTTTTTTTTTAAATATGAGATGTTCATGTGTATATATATATATTTATTTATACAATAGCTGGGGTATAGGCCAGAGGTGCGGAAGGATGAGAGGATTCACCTGAGAGAGAGTGGGGAGCATAACAGGCAGACAGACCAAAAGCACTGCTGAGAGGAGCAGCGGTTGGGACAGGAGAGGTCTGCCGCGCCATGTGGGGATCTCTCTGGCTGACTGGGAATCGAATCCGCGCTGCACAGGCTGCGGACTGCTTCACAGTGCTGGGGTTCAACCTGCTGCGTCACCAGGGAGGCCTATTCTTGTCTGTCTTAATCCAGCCATTTGTAAAACGAAGGAATTATTTTTAGGCCACTTATAAACCCCCTGAAGTTATATGAGAAGACTTGCATACATTTGCATTATTTTGAGGGACAGACCTGTAGCTCTTAGTAGATAACAGAAGTCTTAGAGTTCCTGCCCCTTTTGCTCTCCAGCTCTCCACAGGAGGCTAAGAAAGTTCTAGGCTATATTTTTTCGATTCCCAAACCAAATCATTTGGATGAAAGCTGTGGTCTAAAGCTATTCAAAGACTTTTGGTATATGAAATGACTTCTCAGGAAACTACCATGGTTGAGCAAGACCTGTCTTCAGTAGGTACTGATGTTATGGTAAATGTTCATTTAAAGAAAAAATAGAAGGGGGTTCTGTTGAACTTATGATGTATGCTTTCATTGCTTTTTTCCTCAGTCTTGCCTCACTTGTCTATACTGTTTTTCCTTTATTTTTCTTTTATCATTCATTACAATTATATCTTATTTGCCTTTCTTTTATACATATATTTATAATGTATGTAATATAATCACTTGCATATTTATACAGCTACTTGATCTCTTTAACTGATAAAGAGGAATTGGAAAGTAGGGTCTGAATCTTAGGAATTCTGCAGCACCAGGTAGCGCATTTTTATGAACTATGAACGATTAATAAATTTCACCAACTGACTGATTCATTGTAGACATGGTCACCTATGGATAACTTCCTATGGTGACTTGTTACTCATTTTTCATTGTTTCTACCTCTTTACTCACAGATGGCTGTGATTTCAGGGATGTAACCATTGATTTTTTTATTCTTAGATATTAACTATGTAAATACAATTTAATTGAAAAATCTTTTCTAGTCCTCAAGGAGTAATCAGTGGTTATCCTATTTTTATTAGACCCATTCTGTTTTTGAATTTTATAATGAATTTGTCTACCTTTTTATTTATTTTTCTTAAACAGTGAAGGAGATGAACTTGCAGGATATCAAAGAGGATTTGGAATTGGATCCAGAGGAAAACAGCACCCTTTTTATGGGTATCCTTATTAAGGGGTTGGCCAAACTGAAGAAGATTCCAGAGACAGTTAAGGCCATCAAAGAACGCTTGGAGCAGGAGCTAAAGCAAATCGTGAAGAGGTCTACAACCCAGGTGGCTGACAGTGGCTATCAGAGAGGAGAGAACCTCACTGTGGAGAACCAGCCAAGGTAGATTGGGGTGCTGTACTTTGTGTTTTTGACTATTTGCTGTATGTTTTTAGGGCTGGTGGTGATAAGTAAATATTACCATCTCTTGTTGATGTTATTTCCTAAGCTTGCGCTATCAGAACCTATAAGCAGCTTCAATAGGTATAATTCAGCTGGTTTTTGATGGAGCTGAGAAGTTTTAAGGCATATGAAAGAACATGGGTATTATTGAATATTTACTAAGTACCAAACAGAATGCAAAGCAGTTATGTATATTCTGTCATTTACTTCTTACAACTTCATGAGCTACTTACAGGTATTTTGAGATTAGGGAAATGTGTTCAGACGTTAATGAGCTTAAGGTCACAGAACAAGTGGCTGGTCTTGGAGTCGGGCTTAAGTCCATGGTCTAGCCTCTGTCCTTTGCTGTTTTCTTTAATGTGTGGTAGGTGATCTTGCCAGTAGGCACATCAATCTCAGGGATTCCAGTGTCTACTTAAAACAACTAATAGAATTTGGATTTCATAATTCTTATTTCCTAAGGGGAAAACTGAATTTGTTCTCATTAATCTGTCTGTGACTGTCATACACTGGGAGCACATGTTTGTCAAATCAAGTTTTAAGGCAAGACAGACTAAAGTCACCTGACAGTGGGACAAAATACTTGAAATTGAGGCTTTCCTAGAAAAATCAAAGATTCGCTATATAGTTCTTTCCTCCCCCTTCTTTGATTCTTCCCCCTCCACCCTCCCCAACTACCAGACATGGACAAGACAAGAATTTCGCCTTGAGGTAAGACCAGTGGAAACTAGAAATTCGTCATGAGTGTGTCTTCTCATTTGCTCAAACAGGATGAGTTCCTAAGAGGTGATGGAGAAGGAATTATAATTTTGTTTACATCTTGTTAAGAAAATTCTACTGTTTGTACTTTGGGTTTTAAATCTTATTTTAAAGCAGAAACAATTCTATGTAATATAGAATTCCCTAGACTTATTTTCAACCACTTGGAAAAATTGCTGTATTCTGTTTTCATTTTCTATGTGTTTTTATATATTCAGATAACATTGATTTTAATTATACTTTAAAACTCAAGTATTCTCTTGGAAACGGGATTCAAAAGTATAATTAGTGAAAAACTGTCCTCCACTCCTTGCTGACATAGGTGATTTCAAAGCACATGTTTTGATGAGTATGGATTTTAGAGTGGAGCCAACTTGGCCTTGAATACCAGCTCTGTCATCTGAACACAACACCTTCCTTACAGGGCTGCTTGCTTTTGCTGAGGTCATCGTGAGTAGTAGAGTAGCACCAGCAGTTACTATTATATGTAGAGGAATGCACACATTTATTATTTGTTGCTTCTCAACTTTTATGTTCTTTGATCACTCACCCTGTGAATGAATCTGGGAATTGCTTCTGAATTAAACTTTGCTTTTCTTCTGCCTTTGCTGGTGCCTGGATTTCCATGAAGATCTTTCGACTCATTCCTAATGAACATTCCCAAATTCTGGCTTGCTATTTGCCCTGTTGCTTCAAGTTCCTAGCTGAATACACTGAACTTTCTTAGGGAAATAACATGAATGTAGCATACATCAGAAGTAAAACAAAAGGGATTCATGGGATTTTGACCTCTTCCATTCCCCGAACTTCTTCCAGAATTTTTCAGTGGAAATAACAGCACTCAGAAGTGGAAATTCAGCATACTGTTCCAGGAAATAACTTTTTTTTTTCTTTGTGAGGATTGAGTCAGCAGGAGGATTTTTCTCTCCTTTAAGTTTTGTTTGTCAGTGTTTTAAAGGTTTTTGTAGGTAGGATAGGCTGGACATGATCTAAGGGAACAAACTGTTTGTCTTGGATTCATGTCTATATAAGATGATCCCATTTTATAGCATGTGTGAACCTGGAACTTTAGGCCTAAACTATTATAAAATAGTACAGGGGAACCAGATATTTGGGGGCAAACCACCCTTTGAAGATCAGAGATTAAATTATTGACTTGGCTTTCCAAATGATTGCTAATTTGAGCTAATTTGGTGGCTGTGTGTTTTCAATGCTTTAAAATGTCCCCAAAGTTTCCCTTCCAATGGTTTAGAATTATAGGAGGGTTATTGTCTGATTATCTCTTGCAACTTGAGTTAGGTTTTGTTTCGTGGAACTTTACTGGGAAGGTGTTAGTGGCATTTATTTTAGAGAGAAGTAAAATCACAGTAACTCTCATCATCATTATCGTCATCATTGTCTTACCATTCATGGAACTTATGGTGACAGCATAAGAATGTTTCCTTAAAATGGAAGCATATGCCAGAAGAACCAAGACTCCCTACATGCACCTTCTTTTCCTCTAGCTCCACCCCCCCGCCCCCCCCCCCCCCCACCGGGCCAGTGACCTGTTCCAAATCATTAGCATCTATGTGCTGCTCTGAGACACATAACAGTATTAACTTTCCATGAAACATTCATGGTTTATCATCATCTTATTAAATATATCCTGGATGTGATGCATTGCAGGACGCTTTTCATTTACCTTTATGTAAAGAGAATCCATGTTGAATGTGCTGCTTTGCGAGAAAAGTAGAAGGACCCAGGCTAGTGAACTCTCTCTTGCCTTCACTTCCTGAAGAACCATTCTGCTCACAGCCAGTTTTAAAATCACTCGGTGACACACTTGATATTTTCTAATTTTTGATACGCATATTATTTGTGGGAGAAATGGTTTGTCTTTTTGTTTATTCGTAATTAATCTTGTGTGTATAAATCACTGCTTACTATTAAAGGAAAATATTCAATGACTTGTTACCAACTTGATAAGCATTTGGGTAATATGTGTTTTGCTCATCTCCCAGGATCCCTTAGTTTCTTCGAAAGGCAGGCACGGTCTTCAGCATCAGATGGCTGATGTGTGTAGCCCATGCAACTCCTGATCCATTTCTACAGATTTTTCTGTATAATTTTCTTTCCTAAAATAATTCTAAAATGACAAGCATTTTATATCCCTCAGATAATTATAAACTAGAAGGTGTAATAGAAGCAAAAGCTGAGTGTGTCATGAGAACATATAACTATGGGGCTGATCTGAGCCGGGTAGGTAGACACTGAGTGTCATGTATTCAATATTTATTTTTAAATGATAAAGAAGCCTTTATTATTGTGTACTAGTTGTAGCTGTCATCCTCTGTTAATTTGATAGCACTTACCAGTTGCTATTCCAGCTGTGTGAAAAATAAAGCAGATTTTGATGTCATTTTCAAAATTTTGCTAACCTTTGTGGTTAGATTATGATTGCCATTGCCAGAAGTGTTTTTAGAGATAATACCAATTTTTCATGTCATCAGTAATGTTGGAGTATTCCTGTGGTCCCTTGCCAACAGATTGTATTAAATATTTTTTAAAGATTGTTATTGAGGTAGCATTGGGTTACAGCACGGTATATTATTTAGAGGTACAGAATCCAACTTTTCAGAGGTTATCTTTGCCAATCTGCTAGGTGAAAAATGTTATTTACAAGGTGGGTTCCATTTGTATTTTTCTTAAACTTTCAAATCAAAAAAATTCACTATTAAGACACCTCATTTATGTCTGGATGGATTACTTCAAAATAATCTGCATTGAGAATAGCTAGAGATTAGATAAAATTGCCATTAAAATGATACTATTGAAGGGGGTGATAGGTACAGGAAGAGTGGTTCTGTCCTATCATCTTTACATTTTTAATGATTAAAATTTTCAATAATACAATATTTAAATATCACCTTTTCACTGAACTATTTCTTTTTTCTAGTGTGCCCTTTTATTGATTTGCTAGAACTCTTTTTTTTTTTTGAAGGGTTTTTTTTTTTTTTTTAAGATTTATTTATTTATTTATACAAGCACTGGGCACAGTCAGAAGCATGGGAGGGTGAGAGAATCCACCAGAGCCAGAGCAGGGAGCAGAACAGACAGACTGACGAAATGCACTGCTAAAAAAGCAGCAGGTGGCAAGAGAGGTCTGCGCGCCATGTGGGACCCTCACCAGTGGCAGGGGATCGAACCGGCGCTGCAGAGGCTGTGGGCAGCTTCGCAACCCAGCGCTCAACTGCTGCGCCACCTGGGAGGCCCTAGAACTCTTTATATGCTAAAAGTTAATTTTTTTAGGATTTATTTTGCAATATCCCTCACTTGCTTTTTCTATTGATTGTTTATGATGTCTAGCCATGTAGAAATTTGCTTTTGTATTTTATGAAGATATATATGTGTATGTGTATTTTTTTTTAACAGATTCTTGGTTTTGTGTAAAACTTAGGTCTTCCCCAGTCTATTTGGTAAATAAAATTTCCCACGCTTCTAGTACTTATATAATCTCTTTCTTAATATTTATGTGATTGATACCTCTGGAATCTGAAGGAGTGGCAACACAACTTTTAAACAGATATCACTTTTTTTACACTTATTGCAGTGGAGAAAATGCCCCTTTCATTTCTGCTTCTAATATATGTAATTGAGTGTCAGTGTTAGTGGAATGTTTGCTGAATATTCTAACAGTGAATCATTTTATTTCCCAGTCCTGGTTTTTTAATATTTGCCTTGTTTTCTAAAACTCTCCTTCCCCACCCTGCCCCCACTCCCTGTTTCTCAGTCTACAAGACTGTAGGTTTATAGAAATACATGGAATTATTGCTCGCAATGCTGAAAAATTAGAGTCCAGATCTCAGAATGAGGGCATATTGATATAGTAGGACATTCTTAAAATATGATTTTATCTAAGAAAGTCTGAAGGCTTAGGCCCTAGTTTTGTAGTTTGTGGGAAGAGAAATAAATGAAATACTTTTCATGATTTCATTACACCTGCGGCTAGAGTGAAGCATGTGTTTCATTTTCATATAAGTAACATTTCCTTTCATCTCTTCTATTTGTTACTTTGCTTCTAAGAATCTGAAATGTAGAACTTAGTGGAGTTGGTCATTTTATTTTACAGAAAAGTCATTCAAGAGCAGCTTGGAAGCAAGGTCAAGCATTCGTCCTTGTGGCTTCTGGTAGCCATTCCC